TATCAAAGAGGTTGATGTTTCCACCTATGATAGACATATATCATGGAATAGTCATATTCGTTGTGTAAATCAGTGTTTAAGGAAGACAGTTAGAGTGTTATTTAGATTTACGACATTTTGTTCCTAGGCGTACTTGACATTAGTATATAAAATCGTGGATAAAATTACACATAACCTACATGTAGTTACTTGATTACCTATTAATGTCAGATTCTGTTACAACACATTTGTTGAACAAATCATAGATTTAAAATCCATGCAAATATTCTGTATATATACAAAATTTCTATTTCATATTATCAGTTTGTATCTTGTACGACATTGTTAAAGTATTTTTTTGTTTTAGTATCGATTGTATAATGTTAAATTCCTTTTTTGTTCTAAAGGTTACCTGTACAGAAAACCAGCTGTAAGGCGTTTGAATCGACTAGCACATATGCTATTATCTTGCCCCTTTTACCAACCACTATTTTCTCTTCTTTTACATGTATATATCATTATGGCAGTTCGTGCTTTTTGTGCATTTAGAAAGTGGAGAACTCCTACGGCTCCCCTACTTAAAAGATTGCGAATCCTAACTTTGTATAATATGGATGATTTAACAATCTCTACTTTCATGTTTGCTCTTTTAAATAATATGTTTCCTCATATTTTGATAAATTACTGTAATATTCTAGAATAAAGCTACTCCACAAGGCAAACAGAAAGTGGACAATTATACGCCTTCAAAATTTAAAACGACACAAGGTCTATTAGAATTGTCTTTTGTGGTAAATATTTTTTTTGGAATAGATTACCTGCTAATGTCAGATTCTGTTACAACACATTTGTTGATGAAATCATAAATACAAAATCTATGCAAATAGTCCGTATATGTACAAAAATTATATTTGATATTATAAGTTTGTATCTTGTAAGACATTGTTAAAGAAATCTATTTTTAGTATCGATTGTAATGGTACATTCCTTTTTTTTCCCGAAGGTTACTTGTACAAATTACATTGTTTAGTCGAATGCGTTAGGATCGGCTGGCAAATATAATATTATCTAGCCCCTTTTACCAACCAATATTTTGTCTTCTTGTATAAATCGTTGTATGAAATGCATGGTACTTATTTGCTGTTGGTAAATCAATCAATCAAACACAGAAATCTAATAAAAATTCTAAACATTGACAGGATTGTAACTATAGAAGTGATGTACATGTATATGGAAATAAATTAGCATTAACTCAAATCACATCAAATAAAATAAATTCAACATTTGAAAGTATCCAGAAGGAACCACAGGTATTTGATTAAACATATTTTGTTTACGATGATGAAAACAATGAGGCTTCGATGAGCTCCTGTTGCTTTCTAAGTCAGGTATTCCGGAGGCAGGTGGGAGTAGGAGGGCAACAACCGGCAAACGCAAAAATCATCTTCATTTAACAGCTACATGAGGAAATATTAATCTTCGTTAACAGCTAAATGAGGATAAATTCATCTTTGTTCACACAGTAAAAAAAGGATAAATTCATCTTCGTTAACACAGTTAAATAAGGATAAATTGATTTTCGTTAACACAATCATATAAGGATAAATCAATCTTCGTTAACAGCTAAATGAGGATAGATTAATCTTCCTTCACACAGTAAAATAAGGATGAATTCATCTTCGTTAACAGCTAAATGAGAATTAATTCATCTTCGTTCACACAGTAAAATAAGGATTTTTTTTTTCGTTAGCACAGTTAAATAACGATGAATTCATCTTCGTTTACAGCTAAATGAGGATGAATTAATCTGGATTAACACAATTAATTGAGGTTAAATTAATCTTCATTAACAGCTAAAAGGAGGATAAATGAATTTTCGTTCACAGAGTAAAATAAGGATAATTAATCTTCGTTAACACAATTAAATGAGGATAAATTCATCTTCATCTAACAGCTATATGTGGATAAATTAATCCTCGTTTAGACAGTAAAATAAGGATAAATTAATTCTTGTTAACACAATTAGATGAGGATGAATTCATCTTTGCCAAGCTTCGTTTAAAGCAGCTAAAAATGAGGATAAATTCATCTTTGCCAACACCGTATATTGAGGATAAATTTAATCTTGTTTAAGGTACTACCTCCCATTTGCAGGTCAAACAAATGAAAAGGTTAAATTCCAACGGCGTTCGAAAGGAAAATACTTATTAAGAACTTCCCTCAAAACGAAAGGGTTTGAAAATGGCTTTTGTGGGAAATAACAACCATTAATTGTCAGATCGACATAAGAGATTGCAACAACCTAAGTAATAGTCTGAAATTCAGACCCTTGTACCGCCATGGTCGGACGTTTAGTGCTGCTGAGGACTCTGGCATGTCTCCAAATGGAACTTGAAATGCTGCTGAGCTGTGCAATGAGGTTTATGAATAAGGAGAATTGAACATTGCATGCAAAAAATACATGTACCAACTTTTTACATTTTACAATACCAATTTTTAGGGGAATTGCCGTCTTATTTTGTTGAAGCTTCACGTCTTTCCTTTTCAATACACTCACAATACAAATTGCGTAAGCACCGTCGCACGCGCAGATCGGTCGATACCTCCATTCATTTCCCCATTGTCAATGATTGTCGTCTAAAGCTCGGACGATTATCAACCGAGCCATAAATAATAGGCCTAAGCCTTCGTGGTTTTACGTGGGTTTTCGACACATTTTGTAACTATATTCTGACCAACATTATGCCATGATCTACACTAAATGCCCTTTTTTTAAATGTGCAAATCAAATATAGGACTATTTGGGAAATGAATTTTGAGATGAACATTGTTTTATTCTCGAAAACAAAAATAAGATTTACTTTGAATGCTTTCGACTTCGTTTCTCATAATTTGAAATATTCATTTTGTTTTAGTTTTTGCCTCCCGCTTAATTTTGTTTATTTTTTCTCTATCTATATATTTCTTTGAACCCTATTTTGATATGAGGTTGCTGTATCAATAAAATATTTATTGAATTTTTGTACGCATATTTGATTTGTTTTGTTTCTAATGGACAGAGCTAAATCAATGACAGAGATTACAACAAAATCATAATTTATCACAATCATCTCTCTGTCTCTCTCTATCTCTTTCTATTTATTTATCTATCTATCTCTGTCTGTCTATGTCTGTCTCTCTGCCTCACTGTCTCCCTCCTCCCCCTCCCTCTCTGAATGCGTCAGGAATTTTGTGAAATTGGAATTGTGCTTCAGTGTGTTTTATTTCCGCATCGCGTTGTTTTTGTTTGTTGTTGAAAGGGTGTGGCTAATAAGGAGTTAATCGCCGTAGTCTTGGTAGTCTTTTATTTATTCGAAAATAAATGATATTGAAAATATAGTAATTCATTATATGTTATGAAACAATAAAGAAAGAAGTGCACACAACGTGAGAATTCAATTTATTTGTCTTCGTCTCCATCTGTGTTCTCGTTTAACATATCGTGTCAATAAAACTTTGATCCTCGTTTCATGATTAGTTCTGTAGATGGCATGGACATGTAAACCTGTACATGAAATGATGATGATGATGCTCACAATATTGTAATAAAATAGTAATGATAATAAAAATTATTTTCTTCATCGTGCACTCGCTTTTCTTCATTGCCAGAAAACTTGATTTTATGTTGCCTTGCATTTTTTTTCTTCAACAATGGTAGCATCTTTGCGCCGGAAAAGTCTCATATTCGTGGCTTTACCGCCGAAGTTGCTCAAGACAAGAGTGATATGATAAGAGTAAGGGGTCGTTTTTCAGAACATAACATTTCAACATTTCATATGCCCGCTCAAACCAAGACCGGCTTGATTTAGGTTGATCAAGATATTTTACTCATACCTGCTCTAAAATGGTTAAATGCCCTAGTTAAGGTATATAAGTTAGAGTGGTTGTTTGTATTGTCATGTAGATTGACCTATTGACCTACGTTTAGGCTTACATCCTCTTCTTTCAAAACGGTAAACTTCCAGACTAGTTACTTCTTTACAATCTTTTGTTCCTCTTAGGGTGGGGGATAAGCCTTTCATAAAAGAGGTCCATACATGAATGATTCGCTAAATTGGTCAAGTTTATAAAATGAACAGCGTATTGTCATATAAATACCCTACATCGATAAGGCTTAGATTTAAATAGTATATGATGAAGAAAATGCCACACCGGTAGGGTAGATATATATAAAAAAAGTAATCAGGGTCGAAATCGAACTGATAATACGACCCGTAATACGAATATCTGAAAAGGGGAAGTGTGCATACGGAACTTGGAAGTAGCGTCAAGCCAGAATCCTGGCAAGAATATAGAACGGACGCGCGCGTACGCGTCCGTCTTCAGCTGTACGGGTATTTCGGGCCTTTTTTTCCATCCGAACACTAACTTAGAGTAAAGCTGAAATGATATCTTTTTTTCTCGATTTTTTTTCTACGTAACTATATTATTTTTTTAATAGATGAGATAAATGAATATATCTAAATAATAATTCAAAGAACTTTAGCACATAATAGCTAATAATAAGCTGGACAACTTTGTCAACATATTAGGGATATGTCTCGGCTTCTGTAGAAGCCCGTCGTCACAGACTTAACAACTCGCTCGGCTGCTGTAGAAGCCCGTCGTCTCCAAAGTGTTAAACGAACAATGGTCTAGTTTATGACAGTGTTAATGTAATTCGACCCTCTTAGTAACCTACGATTCGATTCAGTTTCGGTTTGTCAACGTTGATTACGTGTGAACGTCTGTTATATCTCGTTTTATTGTTCAATTAAAATTCATACCATCAAACTACAACTCGTTTTCTGATTGATTATTGTTATATGTGAGTATCGCCACTAAGCCGAGTACAATCCATGTGACACTCAGAATAGTCCAAAGATCATCGATACTAAAGGATACGTGCTTATTTACACAGTACTTCAATATCAAATATCATGATGTTAGGAAAGCACGGTAATATCATGAGGAAAACATTGTAGGTGTGAATTACGTTTAACATGGCGCTGTTTTCTGCAGCGGCAATAGGAGACGTCCAGAAGATACAATCATTAATCGACTCAGAAGACAAGTCCGAGGATTCGAGAGGAGTTGATGTAAACTGCTCGGATGCATCTGGCAAGACACCCCTTCACATTGCTTCGGCAAACGGACATTTGCAAACGGTTAAATGCCTAACCAATCATGGAGCAAAGGTGAATGTAATCGATGCTAACCTACAGACATCGGTTCATTTATGTTCAAAGAAAGGCCATCTTCATGTGGTAGAGCTGTTAGTGAACGAAGGAGCAGATATTAAAATTGGCGACAAAGATGGGTTTACAGCTCTTCACATAGCATCATTCGAGGGTCATGTTGACATTGTCAAATACCTTGTTAGTAAAGGGGCAGAGCTGGAGAGACTTGCTAATGATTATTGGACACCTCTACACCTTGCATTAAATGGTGGCCATCTTGACCTTGCAGAGTACCTTTTGACAGAAGGAGCCAACATTAACTCGTGTGGTGAAGGTGGATGTACAGCTCTACATGCTGCATCACAAACTGGTAATATTGATGGAGTGAAATATCTAACTAGTCAAGGAGCAGAGCAAGATAAGATCACTGAGGATGGTTGGACCGCGCTTAGTCTGGCTTCATTTAGGGGACACCTTGACATTGTCAAAGTTCTCGTTAACGAAGGGGTAGAGGTTGACAAAGCACTCAGGAACGGGATGACACCATTGTGTCTTGCAACAGAAAAAGGCCATTTGGGTATTGTCGAAGTCTTACTGAACGTAGGAGCAAATATTGATGACTGTAACCGAGACGGGCTAACAGCACTCCACATTGCAGCGTCCAATGGACACGTTGAAATAGTGCATCATCTCATTAGCAAAGGGGCACATCTTGACAAATGTGACAAAACCGAAAGGACACCCTTGTTTTGTGCTTCTCAAAAAGGCCATATTGAAATCGTCGAGTATATCGTGAACAAAGGAGCAGGCCTTGAAATTGGTAATAAAGATGGGTTTACAGCTCTTCACAGTGCATCCCTCAAGGGTCATCTTGATATTGTCAAATACCTCGTTAGCAAAGGGTCAGACTTGGGGAGACTTGCTAATGATTACTGGACACCTCTACATCTTGCCTTAGACGGTGGCCGTCTTGACATTGCAGAGTACCTTTTGACAGAAGGAGCCAACATTAACACGTGTGGTAAACGTGGATATACAGCTCTGCATACTGCATCACAAACTGGTAATATTGATGGAGTAAAATATCTAACCAGTCAAGGAGCAGAGCTGGATAGGAGCACTGACGATGGTTGGACCGCGCTTAGTTTGGCTTCATTCGGGGGACACCTTGATATTGTAAAAGTTTTCGTTAACGAAGGGGTGGAGGTTGACAAAGCACTCAAGAACGGGACATCACCCTTGAGTCTTGCAACAGAAAGAGGTCATCTGGGTATTGTCGAGGTCTTACTGAACGTAGGATCAAATATTGATAGCTGTAATCAAGATGGGGGTACAGCTCTTCACAACGCATCATTCAAGGGTCATCTTGATATTGTCAAATGCCTTCTTAGGAAAGGGGCACAGCTTGACAAATGTAACAATAACGACAGGACACCCTTGTCTTATGCATCTCAAGAAGGACATCTTGAAGTCGTCGAGTATATCGTGAACAAAGGAGCAGGCATTGAAATTGGTGATAAAGATGGGGTTACAGCTCTTCACATTGCATCATTCAAGGGTCATCTTGATATTGTCAAATACCTTGTTAGGAAAGGGGCACAGCTTGACATATGTGACAACAACTACAAGACACCCTTGTCTTATATTATTGTATTAAGCGCTATATAAATTAAATTTATTATTATTATTATTATTATGCTTCTCAAGAAGGCCATCTTGAAGTCGTCGAGTATATCGTGAACAAAGGAGCAGGCATTGAAATTGGTGATAGAGATGGGTTTACAGCTCTTCACATAGCATCACTTAAGGGTCATTTTGATATTGTAAAATACCTTGTTAGTAAAGGGGCAGACCTGTGGAGACATGCAAATGATTACTGGACACCTTCACGCCTTGCTTTTAATGGCGGCCATCTGGATATACATGACTATCTCTTAAATAGAGAAGCAACAAAGATCGTTAAGCCATTCATTGGGTTTAAAGAGGACCACTATGAGTACCTTCGCAGTACGTTTGGTAGTGAGGCTTTCCCTGGCTTAATGCCCCAATACTCCCGAACATACGATCCATATCTTACCAGCAGCGCTCAAAATACACGGGGGCGGTGGGCGATTCGCCCCCGTGAGCTACAAAATCGCCCCCGTCAGGTTGCTCACGGGGGCGATTGCAAAATTAAAAATCGCCCCGGTGGAATTATAAAATAAAGATAATCTTTTCTGTTATAACTTTAACACAATATTGAGTTTCAATTTTCAAACCTTAAACCAATGAAATGGAACTAAGATTAGCGTGCAAGATTTCTCGTTTCATGAGTAGGCCTATTATTACCGATTCAGCTCGCAGTGCAGTACCGCCGTCAGCAGTGGTTATAGGCCTACTGCGCCGTTAGTAGCGGTGCGTGTGCACGCTGCCGCGCCATGTCTGCTGGAGCTGGAGGCGATCGGGCAAGGGCAGAAACATGGTCATGGCCTGGAGAAGTTTTTCGTTGTCAGCAAATAATGAACCTCGACCAGTAAATCAATATTAGGGACTTTTAGATTTGTACGATGAGAACGTGGACTGCAACGTGTGACCTCCTTTTAAGGCACTGCCAGTGCTTAAAAGGACGTCACATGTGATTGCCAGTGCCTTAAAAGGACGTAACACGTCCACGTCCACGCAAATCTAAAAGTCCCTTTTGAGGAGAAGAGGAAGACCAAAATGTCGTGGAATCAGGGGCGGCGATTTCTGTTAATGACCGGGGGGACGAAATGCGACTTTTTTTTTAACGAGGATGTTATGCGAGGGAGCGTAGCGACCGAGCGAGATTTTTTTGCAATTTTATTAGTCTAAACGCTGCACTCTTGGGCCTTCCAAAGCCCAAAAGTGTGTTGCAGTCATTATTCAGTATATGATATACAATTTGTTTTGCACTTTTTCAAATTTCCAGGGGGGACGATCCCCCCCTAAAAAAATTGAGGGGGGGGGGACGTGTCCCCCCGTCCCCCCCCCCCCCGGGATCGCCGCCCCTGCGTGGAATGATATGATAACATGGGCAGATCTACGGCGGGGGGGGGGGAGGGGGGTAGGGGGTTTAACCCCCTCCTTCCACCCCCGGCCCCCTTGGGCTGCCAAGTGAAAGTGTGATATTAAAGCGGGGGGGGGAGGGGGAGGGGGATTCTGGAGAGGAGGACTACTAATCTATTTTATTTTTTTCAGGGGGCGGGGGGAAGTGAAGCGCCGTTTTAACATGACTTTCTTTTTAACTCTTACTTTCACCCATCTCAGATAACCCTAAGTTTTTTTTTATATGTAGTTGATAATGCATGATTAAAATAAAGAGAGAGAGAGAGAGAGAGAGAGAACCACCATCATTTTGCAATGGTTCAGGGTTCGTGTAATGTACATTTGAAACCATTTCTTAGCGTCTCAATCCTAAAAAAATAGCAAAACTATTTTTGAGGAAAAGCATTATACTGAATTAAATAAAGAATAATAGCTTTATATTGGATCATACTAATACTAATACGGGCTAAAGACAATGTGGTATTTGTATAGAGGTATTCCAAAATGACATTCTGATAATCAACATTTGTTCTGGTATCATATGTATATACGCATAATACAACTGATCTTTATGATTTCTTAACGTGACATAGCTTCTTCTCCCTCTGCAAACAAAACAGAAAACAAGGTTATTTAATAAAAGGACCATGCGACAAATAATTATTGTGATTCAAATTGATGCAAGGATTTTTTTGAATATGCAATGCTTTTCACCAGAATCTTCTTTGTAAAAACGACTTTTATAAATCTCAGCCATGCAATTTTGCCACTGTGCTGTAAGATCACTTTGAGATTAGGAGAAGTGTATTATGTAATGGGTATTTTAAATTGAATGGAACGTCTCAACTCAGTAAGCATGGCTGAGATTTGTAAAAGTTGTTTTTACAAAAATGATTCGGGTGAATAATAGTGCTTATTCAAACAAATATTCGCATCAATTTGAATCACAATCATTATTTGTCGCTTAATCCCTTTTAATGACCATGTTTTCTTTTTCGTTTGCAAGGGGAGAAGAAGATATGTCACGTTAAAGACATCATAAAGATCAGTGTTGTATGCGTATATATTATATACACAGGCCAGTAACAGCTATGTAGCTTGTAAATTTGTAAGAGGGAAAATGCTGATTCAAATGATAATGATGAAATAGCAAATAATTGAGGAGTATCATAGGTACCAATTCAATGGATATTTGTATTTAGAGCCCCCGTCAGTAATAAAAGAGCCCCCGTGAGAAGGCTCACGGGGGCTCTTTTTTCGGGGGAAGAGCCCCCGTGGACAAAAAATTAATTTGAGCCCTGTTCCCTACTATTCTTGATATCATATGACCTCACTTCAATGTTGATATTCTATTAGAATAGAAATTCGCTTGAAATAAAAAACTGTTTCAGTCTTTGTGTTTGAATAACTTTTACATCGCACAGTTCAAACAGCCGCTCTTTTCGGGATTCTTGTAGAAAGATCGAAGGAAAATATGAGAATGATTTAATGCATAAAACATTTTGTTAATAGCCAATTACCAAAAAGCATTTGACATTTTTGTCTACGTCAATGATCATCATCGTCAACAATTACCTCCAACAAGGCTCCTCAGTGAACCCGCAAAACTTATTTAATTTCTTTATTTGTGAAAGTAAATCCCAGAGTATGACATTTCACTGCGTAACAAAATGAACACGGTTGTTTCCCTTTCTTTTGTTGTTGTTGTTGACAGAGTCTGATGAATTTTCAAGGATAGTTCTTGCTTCTGACAAAGCTGCTCGGTGTGTAGTCGCCAAAAATCACCTCACTCTGTACTTAGACCATTTCTCGGAATGGTGGATTATCTCCTTAATCAGGAGATACTTCATCGGTAAACGGCTCATCTGTACGCCCTACGTTCCCCTGTCAACGGCCAGAGATGTCATGAACTACATCTTGCTAATTATTAAAGACGACTTCTGCGGCATGAAAGAGGTAGATTTATCATGAATTAACAGTTCGGTATTATGTTATCTGAAAAAGAATTCCAATAAATAAATGTTGAAATGGACAGAAAATCCTTTAGTAACTCCATGCAGTTTATAGCAAACAATGGAATTGGGACGGAACGTTTTTTTACCATGTTCTTTTAATTGCCTTTTGTTGTGCCCCCGGTCTTCCAGTGGTTACGATGTCAATACTTGTTTGTCTAACGTTTTCTTAGCAGAGGGGTCCGTGGTCGGAGGGGGAAGAGGGGGGGGGGGCAGGGTGGTTACAACAAATATCCAAAAAGATACAGATATAATATTAAAAACTGATAAACATTCGCATCTTGAAGTAAATGATTAGTTCGAGACTTTATTTTTACCACCCAGGTGTATCTGAGTCCCTTGCAATTGCTGCAGTACATTGCAGTGCCCTATGGAAGAACAGCACTATTACAATTATTGCAACTTTTATTATTATTATTACTATTATTGTCATCATCATTGTGTCAATATGGATCCATATATGTTCAACCTTTGGCAGGATACCATACAAGACTACAAGGTAGCCTTTCCTGGTGAGCAGTACTGTGTATATTGGGGACAAGGACCCCTATTTGTACGACATTTGGAAAACGAAGACGAAGTGTCAACACAGGTAAAAATCTCAATATATTTGATACTGTAGTTTCCCCCGAAGTAAATTATCCTGACAAACAAATCGTCCGTTTCTTATTCGGCATAGTCTAATATATATATCTTTAACCTGGGGACTCAAAGTTACGACGCCATTGCTTTGCCACTGAATCGTGACTGTTCACAGCGGGGGTTAGGGTAGGGGGCAGCCCCAACAAATCAAAACAAAACAAAGAAAATGCAATAAATGATCAATAATTCATTGAATTTCCCCGGTCCCTAACAGGAACAAATTCCTTTGTACGCCAATGCATTATGGTTCAAGGCTTGACCACAGAGGATCGTTTTCTGCTGAGGACCGGGGGAAAATGCATTGAATTATTGATAATTTCGTAGGGTGTTAATTTATGGTTATCTCTGATTTTCTTAGGAACTCGAAGAATGTGCTTTCTTTGACATGACGACCTATCGGATGCCGTTCACTCTTCAGCCACGTGAAAAAATAATATCCGGAGTTCTCGTCACTTTCATCTTGAAGCAAAAAATCACGAAGCGTATCGCCTGCAAAGTACTGTACAACGGTAATATCAAGGGCATGCATTCTTTTGGGGAGGGGGTGGCTTAAAGACTTCCACTGGCAGAGAAAAGTGTATTCTTGTGCAGTTCCAGGAATGATTATTTCCTGAGCTTCGGAGTGAAAAACATCAGATTTAACACGAACATAACATTCCACAAACATTATTTCTTTCTTTTTAAGCGTTTTAAATAAGTTGTGTAAGAAAGACGTTAATCACAGAATGCGGAGAAACAGGGTATGAAACACTGAAACTGATGGCTCAAGACCGAGAAACTTGGAGAGACACTTGATATAACATTTTGATTGGGTCACTGAACCTGTCATAAACTGACAGATCACTATTGATGATGAAGAAAGACGTGAGATTTTACGAATTCAAAAAACGCATTTGTATTGATACTAAACAAAAAAGCTCCTGAAAACAAAACTGAACTCTCTACCAGTTTTGTCGATCCTGGTATCATTTGTTCATGTGATATGATTCTACTACTGCTGGTACTAGTGAATTCGACCAATATCATTGGAACTAAGCTAGGCCGTGTATACAGCGCCACCCTGTACCGTATTATGTACGTTATTGTTTAAGGCCCGGTCACACAGGGAGGACGCATGGGGAACGCACGGCCAGCGCATTGGAAATTTGCAATTTGGGCCAGTGCGTTGTCGTTCGCTAGGCGTGCGTCATCATTCGTTACTCGTTCGTCGAGCGCGCTGGACCAACGCTGGACCAGCGCTATGCATGCGTCGTCATTCGCTGTG